CCATTTAAAGTTTAATCTTGGGTACCTCTAGATTAGCTCTGCACCCCTCATAACTCCAAATAGTTTGTGATTGTTTCAGAATCAGAGAGCCAGAAAGCTTCTTCCTTAAAACGAGAGGATAGTTCGTGAACACACACAGTTCCTGTTGCCGGTGTTGTGCCGAAAGTGGACTGCAACGGCATTAATTAATGTGAATTCCTCCTCCATAGATAGGTAAACAATGATATATGTACAGATGAAAAGAGATGTGTAACACTCTAAACAAAGTGAGTAATTGAGAAACCCCATATTTTAACTGGCATAATTCAGACATAAGCTTCAAGCTTTATTGAAAATACACATAACAAGCAAGGCAATATAACATTTTGCCAATATAGTGGGGACACCAGTGGATGTCAGGCAAGCTCACATACACATGCAATGGCCTGGATTTCATGCCCATTCAAGGAGATCCTTAAACTATCACATAATACTTTATTTTGTTAAGAAAAAAGTCCTGCAGCGAGAGTTTGCGAGACGTCGTTTAACTTGTCTTATGCTATTTGTATCTTGATATGGAAGGTTTTTATTACTCCTGTTTCGTAAATTTGTGTTTTATTCTGTTTAGGTTTTATTGTTTTAGCAAGGTTTTCTATTTGCTACACGTTATTGTGCAGCACTCTGTGCTCCTCGGAGTTGTAAAGTGCTATATAAATAAAGCTTTATTATTATAATGTGACTTGACAGTTCTCTAAGGCACATCAAGTGCTTAATCATGCGTATGTTCCATTTTAGTATTTTTATATTGATTGCTCAGAGGCTTTAACATTTTTGAATCCTTTGAAGCAATTGACTGGTGAGTAGGGAATGTGAGCAGTTTGGTGCATATACAATTTGAACCATAAGGCTGACACGCACTGCACTTTTGCATTAAGTACAGAAAGTTTACAACCTTCCTGCCTGTGAATCCAGTCATATTGTTAGGGGCCTGTGCCAACATCAACGTGGACCATCAACAGACCTTCAATAAACCTCATTACCAGACATGTCTAGCATAAGCTTTTTTGACAGGGGGTACTACCATGTAGTCTCCAAGTATTGTTATAAAATGAAGAAAAGAGAGAGAATGAAATACTGTAGTCAAGGTGTCAGAGAAGATGAAAGCTTTTTTGATGACTGCAAAACACTCCTGAAAGCCAAAATTGCATGCTGTGACTATTTGAAGGTAGAGTGGTCCCTCAGAGGGAAGAAGTTTAGTTGGAATACTTTTTCTCACTTGCACAAAATTTATTTAAAAAAGTAGCATTCTTTATTTGCATCAGTTGGACTCTTTAATTTGTTGCCTCTCAGGTGTGTGAGCTTAGAGCTCACACACCTGAGACCTCATCTTACATTGGAAACATTTCCCTCACATAAAGAGCATGGAGTCTTTCTTAAAGGGCTTTCAGATAGGACGCGGGGGCTGGGGGCAGCACAGGGAAGAAGGGTGCCAGTTGCTTGGTGACCAAAAAGCTTTTCGGGAGGTGGTTAGCAGATATTAACTAGTTTTTCTAGCAGTGGACTGGGATGCACGATGTACTGTGTCTACAGAGAAAAATTCTGGCTATAGTTGTATTGATGAGGAGGTGGAGACGAGTTGCAGCAAAGAAGAAGAGGGTGTGGGTCTGCCAGAATCAGCTTCTCCTCCATTTTCTTTGTGGTCTGACAGGTTCTGTGCAATTGGAGACACTGAGGTGCGCCCAAGTTAAACTTGTAACTACAGGGGTGGCTTGTGTGAATTTGCACTGCGCTCAGGTGAGCGCAGCACAGATACATCCTTGCATCGTGCAACACATAGAAACGAATGGGTTCGATAGCAAAGTGCAGCTCCCACCGTGTCCTATCTGAAAAGGCCTTTAGTCTTGGCAGTTCACCTACTGTCTGGAGCAAGACAGCTCACTGTTGGTTTTCTGCAATTATTGCAGTAGCATAGGTGGTAAAGAGCAAGTGACACAGAAACAGTGACAGTCTCATATGTGGTCCTCACATTTAAGTGCTCCACAATTAACAAGAATATTATGATGGAACTTTTTAATAATTTTGAATCATTAAAGTCTGTAAGTTGGCAGCAATTAGTTTAATCAAGAAAAGCTGCTTTGTTTTTCATGACCAGCACACCTGTAGTCCAGAAGAGCAGCAGATAATGGTGAGGATAATTTGCAGCACCCCTCCAGCAAATGCAAATAAGCTGGCAATATTTCAGGTACCTCAACAGCTGTGAAGAACTGTATCGTATTTAGAGATGATGACACTACTGCAGTAGTTACTAATCACTGGACGGCTGTATTTTACAGCAGTGATCGCAGTGCAGGGCAAACGGATCATCAGCACAAAATGAGTTCATTTGCAAAACAGTTGTAATTTTTCCAACTATTCAGAAACCGTCTTTTTTACTGTGCACTCCAGATTTTATTTGGCTATTTGATGATGATTAACAGAAAAAGTCTTGTTCATGTCGAAGTGAAAACTGATCTCTACAAAGTAATCTAAATTAATTAAAATACAAGACCAAAAATTGATTGCAAAAGTACTCACGCTCTTTAAAAGCAACCCACCTAAATTGTCACAGGTGCAGCCAATTAGTTTTAGAAGTCATACAATGAATTAAATGGAGATCACTTGCGTTCTGTGGATGTGTTTCATGTGATTGTATTATAAATACATCTGCATTTGGATGGTCCGATTACTGGTGAATTAGTATCCTAACCAAAAAAGAAGACAAAAGAACAAGAATCTCTGTGAAAAGGTTATAAAAATCATAAGTCAGGCACTAAATATCCCTTGTAGTATGATTAAATCCATCATTAAGAAGTGACAGAAACATGAGGCATACATACATCTCAAAAACAAAGTGATTGTGTAAGAAGGGGACTAGTGAGGGAGGCCACTAAGAGGCCCGTGAGTCCTCTGAAGGAGTTAACAAGCCTCTGCAGCTGATGGGAGAAACTGTGCATGTGTGCAGCAGTGTTCCTCACTGGCCAAAGTTTTATGGGAGAGTGGCAAAGAGAAAGTCATTGTTGAGCTTTTTGGCCATAAGATTAGATACTGTGTTTGGCGTAAACCAAATACTGCAATCATTGCAAATGAACATTCCCACCGTGAAGCATGGTGGCAGCAACATAATGCTGTGGGGATGCTTTGCAACGTGCTCTGGAAGGCTTGTGAAGGTAGGGTAAAATGAATGCAGCAAATTACAGGAAAATCCTGGAGGGAAATCTGATGCAGTCTGCAAGAGAACTGTGACTTGGGAGACGTTTTGATTTCCAGCTTGATAGTGACCTGAAGCACGCAGCCAGAGCTACACACAAATGATTTAAAAACAACAATATTAATGTTCTGGAGTAGCCAAGTTGGAGCCCAGACCTCAATCCAATTGTGAATTTGTGGATGGACTTGAAAAGGGCTGTTAACTTATGATCCCAATGCAACCTGGCAGAGGTTGAGCAGTTTTGCAAAGATAGTAAAGTAAAGTCACTTTTGGCTTTTCGCATTTAGGGGTCACCACAGCGAATCGTCACACTGACACCTCGCATGTTGACATTTGGCACGTCTTTTATGCCGGATGCCCTTCCTGACGCAACCCCGATTTGAACCAAGGGCACTGCGCGAGAGCACTGTGCCTTAACCACTAGCCTACCAGGGACAGCTACTTGCATTTGCAAAGATGAATGGAGAAAGATTCTTGTATCCAGATCACTGACTGTATAAAAAAATGGATGCCATGACATCTCCTAAAGGTGAAGCCACTGTGAGTCATTGTTATTTTAGCCCAGTGTCCTTCTTTGTGTTGTTCTTGGTGTTTTATGGCAGTTGGCAAACAACCGCATGGTGCATTACCACCACCGACTGGACTGGAGTGTGGATTGGGAAGCTAATATTTAGTGCCCATTGAAGGCCTATGGATTTGAGCTACAATACAGAACATTAAAAACACCAGGAAGCTGATGGATGGGGTGGGTCAAATAACACTTGGCTTTTATGTAGAGAACCAGAGACTGAGTCCTGTGTCTAGTCTTGTGTGATGTACTTTTCATTTGACAATGTTTTAACCATTCCTAATCATGTAGCTACTGTGCCTAAACTTAACCATGTATAAGAAATGTCAGACATTGTCTTTTGTTTTTTGCTATGAGAAATACTGTATGTTTTGCTCGAGGTGAAGGCACACGATCACTAATCAAAATGGTTTTTATTGTAAGTGCATATATATTAATGACAACACCCAGTGAACACACTGTCATCTTTTTAAGTTTTGCATGTCTTGCACAGCGCGTCCCATGGTATAACGAGCACGGTCCAAGGTCAAAGCGCCCATTAAGTAGCAATGATGATTTGACTGTTGACCACAGACCTGCTATGTGCTGGTCAAAGGCGCAGTCACTTTGTGCGCCCTCATATTACCAACGTGCCCAAAATTTACCTGGACACACCCCGTTTTCCTCTGGACACGCCTGCCAACGAGAAGTCAACAGACTTCTGCTTGGTTAAAAGGCAATGTGATGTGCATGAAAATGGTAATTGTGCAGGTAGGAAATTAGTTAACACAGACGTGCTACCTGTGCTGCGCACGTGTTTGATAGAAGATGGGGCTCTAATACATTGTGTATTGCGGACCAGTGTAGTAGCTAATATACATTTTGCTGTGAGAATGGGTTGCATATGTCCACAGCTTAAATTTTATGTTAGCTGATATGAAAGCAACCTTATAATGTCACACTCTGCACATATATGCACTTATATCATTCTGCATAGTCAGAACATCCAAGTGGAGTAACGGCAAGCCTGCACATCTTTGAGTAGAGGAAGGCTTTAAGGCTAAAACACAATTCAAAATGATTTCATTGCTGTATGTGATGCTACACTTTCACACCCTGACTTGAGATAGCCAGTCTTGCTTGTATGAGGAGGAGTACATAATCTTCACCTAATATGCTGTTTACAGTCTTGTCCTGGTGTAAATTCACTGTCTGTTTTTCTTACAGTCTCTGTCACCAGCATGGGCCAGCATCTAGGAAAGAAGGAGCCACCCACTGACAACAAGGTAAGAGTCCTTACTATACTGTAGACACTCTAATACTTTATTTTATGTGTGTAAGAAGTCTGAAAAGTGCGATCTGAGAATGAAGCATGTGTTGGAGGATTTTCTTTTAACCTTATCAATGTGACCACTGGCCTTTATCAGCAGGACTTTGGACTCGGTTGCATACAAACTGCCTGCTTCACTCAGACTGATTTATTGCCTTCACATGAGCCTCCAGTCAGATTGTCAACCTTGTTACAGTATGCATGTTTTGAATATCTTTTGAAAAATTCAGAGCTAATCTAACACTGCATAAAAATGAAAAATATTGCATTCTCCACAGGGAGTGCAGCTTTGCACAGAATGTTGTTTGGTTTTTGTTATAAGTGATTTGATTTATTTCTGAGCTGCCTACACATATATATGGTTATGCTCTCACCTCTGGCTCTTGGATCGGAAATCCAGGTTTTGTGGTAATCACACTGCCACAGGCAACACTTTGTACTCACCTGTCAAACTTACTGAGAAGCAGCAAGTCAAAGATTTCATAAACTAACTACACTGACCAGCCACTTTATTAGGTACACCTGTACAATTGTATGCACTTCAATGCAGCACTTCCGGCACATTCTGCCACTGTATAAATGACCATGTCATCTGCATGAAAATGCATAGTACTGCTAATTATTTTGGATCCTAGATCGTTAATAAAAACGAGTAAAGTGGGGCCCAAAATGTATCCTTGTGGAACTCCTTAGAGAATACCGATTAAATTGGACTTAAAACTTATTTTTACCTGATTATTAAAATTATTAAATGACAAACATTTTGCCAATCAAGAGCAGATTTAGACAAATGTGCTCTTTTCTAGGCTTTATTTTTCATATGTAGTATTTCTGCTAATTCATTTGAAAACCAGGGATTATTCCTGTTTGATCCTTTGTTTTTTAACAAGAGTATGTTTATCTGCAGTATCATTAAAAATAAAATAGTGTAGAATGAAAGTCAGTGTGTCATGGCAAGTGCAGTATATAGAAGCTATAGGAAAGTGATCGATAAATTCAAGTCAAAAGATGCCACTTAATTGAAAATTCGAAGGCCAGCTTGTTAAAATAATATCTAAAAGGCTAGCGTTTTTGGGACTTTTCAAGTCTAGTCTTCATGGTGAAGAAATTAATTGAGATATGTTAAACACATTACACATATTCTTCAATTCTTCAGATGCAGAGATTAACCAGTCAAAGTTCAAATCACCCAGAATCATGATTTCAAATTTGCCGTGACTGGACAGCAACTGAAAGATGCTGGTAATAGAATCAGATTTTGAAGAAGGGGGCTGATACATTCCAGTAACCAGCAGCCTACCACAATTATCACTTTATCCTAAAGAGACATTTAGGCTAGACAACATTTTGCTCTAGGCACAGAATTAACAAGAGTAACAGGAAAGCATTTTTTCACAATAATTGCCACACCTCCTCCTATAGTAGATTTATCACATCAAAATACATTGAAGTGCGATGGAATTAGTGTCCATCTTATCAGTTAGCCAAGTCTCTGAAAGCACAATAATATCAACATTTGTTTGCCGACACTCTACTTGAGCATAATCCACCTTTGATTGTAGGCTGTGTACATTTATATGTATAACCGCATGGCCCTTATGACGAGAAAAAAATAAATATCCAAATCAACGCTCTGGTCTAACAGCATTGGAAATGCTCTTCTGATTGCATCCTTTCTGTTAGAGCATTTTAGGGGAAGATCATAGTCATCAGTCTGAACTTTGGCTACATTATCTATCTCAGACCTACGTTCAGGTTGACGACTCAAACATCTATAATCACTCACTAAAACAGGAATTTTAAAAACAGGTTCATCATAGTAGAGGTTAGGACTTGGCAAAAACAAATGCTGAAACTGTTTGCAGATTCAAGTGTGAGTTCCATCTTATATGACAGTAGCTGGGTGCCATGCAGATTTAGATGTATTCCACTGTGTTTAAAAAATCCTCGTCAATGTTTAAATGCCGCTAAATTGTCCACGTAGAGTATGCTATGAAGCATAGATGTGGGACATTGATAGTTGATCATCTTTATGCCAAATGATTTTTATCTACAGCAGCAACAGTTTGTCACCCTGGAGGTCCATCTAGAAAACCCAGATTTATTTATTTCTTTATTTTTGCTGTTTTTCTCCCCAAATTGAAGTGATATGTGTTTGTTTGTGCATCTCTATGCACTTGCCTCTTGTATAGCTGTTGAGTAAGATTTGACAACTGGATAACAGCCTCAGATATAGAGATGTTATGGCTGGTGGGACTGTGTTTATTCTGCTGTTATAGAAGCTTGTTCTGCTGGCAGGTGGGCAGCACTGTTGGAACAAAAGCAGTTATTTCACTTGAAAGCAGCAGTCGCTTTACTCTAAACCTGAGGCAAAACCCCATTGTAGCAGTAATTGAATATATTTAAGAGGCAAATTTTTCTGCTCAGTGAGTGCAGAAATTTCAGACTAGACACTGTTCCTGTATGCCGGGTACAGAGGAGAATAAGCCTTAAATTGGGACAGTAATGTAATTTAAAAACATCATGCAATTAACTCCAACTCTGTCTTCTTTTGTCTCAGCATTTCAAACTTACAGCAGATATAATGAAACTTGAAGAGGGCATGAGCTGGTTGTGAGTAGAGTTGACCCCAGGCAGCGATCAAGGATTTGTAGTCAGAAAAGAAATATGGAGGATAAAATTGCCCTTCAGTGCCAGCTTTTGAGGCTGTGGGCAACAGCATAAACTTTGCGGTCTACGGTGTGTCCTGGCTTACAACTGATGACCTGCTTAGTGCCCGTAATCGTTAGAGTGATCACATCATGCTGGGAAAGAGGGGAGCCCAAACCTGCAGGGGGGCTGCTGGCTCAGCCCATAGATGATTAGTTTCCTTTGCCTTCAAAGCACACTCTGGTGAGAGAAGAGCAGCAGTAAGAGGGGTGAGCTAATTTTTCAAGTGTAAAGCTGCCAGGAGAGGCAGGGGGACAGTATGTCACACTGAAGTGGCATTATGTACTGTATTTAGCTTCATAATCATGTTAAACATGTCTGTCATTTGTTTTTCCCTTTCTTTTTGGCTTGATTGTCGTGACACCAAAGTCAGTTTAAAGGTCTAGCAAAACAGCCAGTTGTCATAGTGACAGTCAAGCAGGAACAGAGCGTGACAGAGTGAGGCAGGTCATGTTTAGATGCTGTTATCTGAGTCATGATCCCTCTCCCACTCCCTCAGCGTATCAGGATGGGTGAAATGCACCCATAACTCCTCTGTCACACCTCAGTAGAGCCTCTGACAAAAATGTTTCATTTTCAGCAGTCTGAAATGTTCGCACCAGTAATATTTTAGAGCCTTAAATTCCATTTGGAACCACAAGTTAACAACACTGGCCCCGCTCCTCAATTTTGGGTTTCTGCCAAAGGGCTATTTGCTTAAATGTGTGTCATGTGTCTGCAGTGTTTAGGTGCACACCATCAGATTCTGGAAGAATGGATTTAAATTCTGGTCAACAGTTTATGATCAATTGTAAGTAAATAGAGTACCAGGATAACAAGGACATATTAGGCCAATGCACCTTGCATTTCTGACTCTATTGTGTTATTGTTTGTGTAGATTACTGGACCACCATATGGCAGTTAATGCTGAGATATTTTCTGTCCAGCTACAGTGAAAAGAATAGATTTTTGGCTACCTCAGATGTCAGCAGTGAACATCAGGATGTGGTTTCAAAGCCTCAGAGTCATAGTGCATCTGTAACTGAACAGGCAGAGCACGCAGCCAAGACAGAGATACCAATTTCTCCAAAGACCAGAATGCAGTACAGCTAAAGACATACTCCCTCTTGAGCAAAGGGTATAAAGTAACTGTCACTTGAAAAGCAAATTGGAAAAAAAAGTGACTCTCTTGCTGCATGATTGCTATTTCTGTTAACTATCACCAGTGCTCTTTCTATGTGCTTGTATAACCTACAGTGTAGTTCACATTTTCACATTGAGACACAAGTCATTTTGAGGAGTTAATGGTGTTCTCTTGGAAATAATACTTGCTTAGATACTAAGCTGCAGACATGCTAATCATTGAAGCTTATGGTATAGTTTATCAACACCCAGTTTAAAACATCCTTACACTTTTGCTGTTGTGTTTTTGGTTTTTGAAAGGCGTAAAAAAGAAGCCACCCTCGAAGCTCTTTAATAACGAATTTGTCTGTTCAACTTACCCTCTCACAAGTAGAGAAAATGCAGGTGTTTCTAATTAATCAAGCACCAGCCTCTCAGGTCACATTCATGTTGGTCCCATTTCTACTTTGCCAAATTAAAATTTGATGTTATGCTGCTATAGGGAAGAAGTACCACTAATGCTCAGTTCACCTGTGGATTGAATCACTAGGCGTATCGGAGCACGTAGGCCACACAGATGATTAAAACCAAAACTAATGAATACTTGGGAAATTATAGACATGATTACACCAGCTGGAAGTGAAACAAACATGCTGCTCAAGCTGATGGAAAAGGCCTTTAGATTGTGAGTGCTGTTGGAGATGGTCCTTGCTGTGAAAGGCTGCAGCTCAAAGCCAAACTTGTTGCACAGAATGTTACAGCTTAACTTTACAATAAGATGTTGCTTTGTCAGTTCTTCTTTCATTTGCTACTTTGTGCCCTCTATCACTGAAACTAATGAACTGAAGTCTCCAGATGAGGGAGCTTGAGTCTTAGCTTGCAGGCCACCGGCTTTCAGAAACCATCAGTTCAACCAGTGCCCAATTAGAGTGTGACCAGCCCAGCAAGCCCATTCCTGTCGTTTCTGTTCCTCGGTGTGAGATGTCTGGAGAGACAGACGCATCTGAATTATAACTAGACTCTTCCTATTCATCTCTTTTTTCTCTTTGTTTCTCAGTTGTACAGAGAATACCACTGCCAAGCACAATGACATATCTGGAGTTCTGTCAGTTGCTGGAGCAGTTAGGTTTTCTTCAAGTGAATATG